TTTTTACCCCTAAAAAAATTATGGAAGTCGCAACAATCTGTACAATAGAGAGAGAGACTTGTCCCATATATTTTCATGTCACAACAAATAAGCCATGACTTTCCACAAGATTTCATTCCAGAAAATCTATGGCTGAGATAGCCAATGGAAAATGCCTCTTCTTCTTCTTCTTCTTCTTCTTTCAAATATCCATACTCATCTTCAGAGCTGTAATGCCAGATCCGGATGCTGCGACGAGGACGAACCAGTCTGCTGATTAGAGCCCGGGGAGTTTGGTGAGACTAGCCTAGCGTTTAGGTCCGGTGGAAATCGGTGGAATTCCTGTTTGGTGTAAGGAAACAATGACCCTTGTTGTTGCGAGCCCGGTGTGGCCTCGTTGCTTACCTTTGGTTGTTGCTGTCTCGCAATTCCGAGCATCTGATTTGCATTATGGCTGAATCCGCGGATAAGGCCGTTGCTGCTCTCTGTTTTGATTAGCGGCCCTGCCTGGTGAGAGGAGGATGATGGGTGATCAATTTCTGGATTCGCAGGTGGTGGTGCGGTCTCTTCGATGGGTTGAGAAGAAGAATGTCTGTTTCCTATGAAAGCGCTCGAGACTGAAGCGGTTGGAGACAGGATTCTGTTCGAATGATCATCAGACGCTAAGTCATTAGAACACTTTTGTTTTCCGGACGACATTAATAAGTTTTGTTTCTGAGAATCATCCTCTTCAGGTCCTGCTGGGTTCTCTCCAACCCAACCTTGACCAAATTTGATTCCAGAGGGCAATACAGTCTCGATTCTCCTCGATGCAATTTTCCAGGCAACAGGACCGATATTTGCAGCATATCGTGCTAGACTCTTCGCGTAACCGTACTCCATGTTCAGCCCAACCTGATGAATAAGGATAACAATGGTCAGACTCTTGTTTCTCTATACAAAGGAAATATTAGAGCTGGTAAATACGTACTGGAATTAACTGTTTTAACTCGTCTTCAAGCGTTGTCAAAACCGACGGTTCCTGGGTAGAAGTCGAGAGGTGGTTGTAGGTATCGCGTCTGTTATCGTCCACATTGAAATGTTTCATCCCATACTTGTTAACCGCCTTCACAACCGAAGCTACAGAGAAACAAGAAGATGGTTCATATAGGCAAAAAAAGAAAGTATGAAAGAAGGTAGAGCAGAGGCAGAGATTATTGTACATGGAAATTCGTTCTCCCAGTCTACCGACCAACCACTTTGGGTTTCGCTGTTATGATTGATTCTAACTGATGATTCTGCTTGACGGAATTTGTATGAAGGAGGAGCCTTTCTTAAATTGTAAGCACCAGAAAACTTATTAGAGCTATCTCCAGGAATGAGAGCATCAGCTGAAATTTCAGAAGCAGTACGGTCAATCGAAGATGGTTCAGGCTGTTTCTTTGGCGGACGGCCTCTTCTGGCAACTTTTGGCTGCTGCTGTTGTTGTTGTTGGCTTTGTGGTTCTTCATCATCACTGTCTTGCCTTAAATTCTCAAAGTCCTTTTTCGCCAATTCTTGTATAGCCCGTGCCTGTAAACCAAATTACACACTATTTTCAGAATCCTGGAATGAAATATCAAAAGAAAGAAGAATAAGGACATACCTGTCGATAATATACAGTGTCTGCTGAATTGTATTCCATTGCATTTGTACATATTAAAAACACATCTCTCTGCAAAAAGAACAGGGCGAGAAGCTTTATATATCAGAGAGGGGAAAAGAAAGGTTGTTCCTACACCAATCTCCTCACAAATAACATACACCCTACACTACATGTATCTTCATTAGTTAACACTTAGCAGTGGTAAAGCCTTAAAATCTCATAACTGAAAGAAAATGCACACAAATAAACATCATCAAGCAATGGTTCTCCATAAGAAGTCCTAACGAAGTTTCAAAATGAAGATGCTAAGAAACAAAACTTTCTGTAGCTATCGAACGCATGAAAACCATCAAGGAGAGGACTTGATCCAAAAAGAGGAGTACAAAGACATACCTCAAATTGTTCTAAAGTGGCATATGCTCCAGAGTCTAATTTCTTCCGCAATGTGCTAAAATCCATTGGATTCGTAATAATCTCATGATAATCAGGAAGCTGCAAACAACATACCGAAACACAGATAAGACAAACAGAATCTCGTAATATTAACGAGCTTAACATCAACAAGAAAGACATTCTCACCTCCTCAGGATCAACTGGATCTGAGTAAACGCCATAAGTATCCTTCCTTCAAGTGTTTATAAAACAACAAACGATCAGAAAAACCAAAACCCAGTAGTTGCTTGAACCAAAGATACAAGAAACGAGAGAATGACAGAGAAGAAGGAAATGAACATACTTTTGAAGTCTATCGAGGATGAAGACTAACAACTTTTTGTCTGGCAAAGATGTAGTGGGGCCAGACTCCACGGGAGACCCTGTCCACATGTAATCCAAAAATTCCTTTTAATTTAATCCCCGCAGAAAATTCCCCTACGCTTTTATCCTCGTACGAAATTTATCAGTTTATTTGCCTTTTTCAAGAATTAAAATTAAAAAAGAGAATTAATATATATATATATATATAAACCTTGAAGAATGTCTGTCGCTTTCGAAGCCTTTTCTCCCTGCAAGAGTAGTATTAACCAACAGATCATCAACTCCAAAGTATGTCCATTAAAAAGGTAAAGCTTTCGTAAACTCACAGAGAAAACAAAGTACACATGTGTTTATGTTTCACGTTCACGCAAGGAACTGATAGATAGTAAGTGAGGAAAAGACAAACTGAAACTACTTGTTTTCAGACATGATGGTTTCAGTTTTCAGTGCAGAGAGAGGCATCTTTAATTCAGAGGTAAACTAACACTTTTAATCACCAGGAAAAATCAATATTATATAATAAAGCGAGAGAATAAAATCGGATAAACACACAAGCGAGAGAATTTTCTTAAGCCGAAGACGAAAAAGGGAAAATTTAATTTACAGAGAAAAAGCAGAATTATGAATTCTGATTCCCACCAATTAAAATCCAAGGGGGAAAAAATGACTCAGTCAAACTCATTCCCACTCACTATAATTCAAGCAGAGACGAAGAAGAAGAAGAACTCAACAAACGCGCGAAATTATTTAAAACCTAATTTCAATTTGGGGAAAACGAATTCGATATCCGAAAAAGGAATTGAATTTCTACCGTATAATCAGATCCGCCGCCGTCGATCTTGCGTCTGTCAAGATTCAGATCGGAACCACCGGATTGAGAATTAGGAGAATGTCGATGAGAGTGAGAGTTCAATCCATGTAAAAGCTTATGTTTCTTCTCTCGCCGCTCGTCATCGTCTTCCTCAGCGGCTTCGTCTTTGATCCAAGGGGAATCGGAAGATACACCGTTTGAATTAGGGTTCCGGCGTTTGGATCGGGAGGCGGAGTTTGGATTGTGATTGAGAGAATTAGGGTTTTTGGAGCCGGATCTATTGTTGTGGTTGTGGTCATCGTCTTCTTGATGGTTCTTGTGTTGTTGTTGCTGTTGTAATTGTTGTTGTTTGATAGCTCGTTTTTGAAGGTCTAATAGAGATGGCCTTCCTTTCTTCTTCTTCTTCGTCATTGTATCAGCTACCTCACCCATTTTCTCTCTCTCTCTCTCTATTTCCCCTTTCTCTCTCCTCTTTCTCTCTCTATCTCTCTCTCTCTCTCTGTTTCTCCTCCTAAACAGGCGTTTTGGTTTTGTGTTTTCTTACGTTTTTTTAGGAAAAAAAAACTCTAATGTGTGTGATTGTGAACTCGCACGTGCTGAGAAATTCGTGCTTTTTCTTATGATTACTGGACAAGTTTGGGCTAATAATTTAATGGGCCGTTATAGGCCCAAATATGAGTTGCGTTCGTTGATATTGTTTGGTCTTCAAGGCAGTCGTCGTAGTCATGTCTGGAGAATCGAAGATCATCGAGTGGCCAAATTCCGAGCTCAACAAGCTAAATCACGCATGTAACACTGAGAACGTGTATTCGTGCTGGTGGAGAACATGATGATCTCCATGATGTGAGCAAAGATACTGACCATCATCACACCTTCTTTAAAATGCTTAGAAATTGGTCTTTTGGAGACTACTTCAACAAGGAAGCCATTCGAAAGGCCTTGGGAGCTTCTTTAACCAAGGTAAATCACAATTCTGTAAAATGAGTCTTTTCTTTTTATTTTGAGAGCTGATGAATTGGCTTCCCTGTTTCTTTTCATGCCTCAGGTTAATAAATTGAGTTACTGCTTTGTTACTTCTCCTGGGGACCATTCTGGTCGATTTATTATCTATTTGATTATGGGTCTTGGTAACATCATCTCTGGTCTTTCCTCTATGGGAGGGAAAAAAAAATCATGAATGTTTCTGATTTCATTTTTTTGTACTAACAATATGGTAAAGACATTTTAGTATGACATTAGCATAATCCAAATAAAGCACCAACTAAGCAAACACTATATAATCATCACTAAAAAAATCGAGCATGACTAAAACCGATTTGAACATATATAAAATCAATCATACAACCATCAAAAATGGCCATAGCTGCCACCTCATCATCTCCTTTGTGTTTTCTCAAGTAACGTCTTCATTTCAATTTTACTCAGATTAAAAGTATTTTCTAAGTGGTTCCACATACAAATGACATCTCCTTACTCAATCAGCACTAGCTAGAGCCACTAGATTCGGACTACCAAAGCAAATTAAGACCAAAGAATAGTTGGATTTGAGTTTTAAACTTGTGTGCTACCAGAAACCACTTCTTTTATTTTCTTAGTATAGTAAAAATTAATTCTAAATGGTTCCCACATAGACATTAGTCCTCCTTACTCCTTACTCAATAAGCAAAAAGTGGAACAATTTGAGAAATGTTGAAACAATGTGTCTTCCATTGTACTTAGTATGGCACATTGAGCTACTAGAAGCCACTTTTGTGGTTTTACATACATGAATCTGTAAAAGTGAATTGGATCACATAGACACGGCTTCTGGTGGTTACTAAATGAAGGAGAGAGTATGATGGTGACAGAAAAACAGCAAAAGCTATACCTAAAATGGATAAAGAATTTCTTAAGCGCGTGGGGCAGTTGGGAGAAGAAGAAGAAGAAGCAAAGGAAAAAGTAGAGCAGAGAGACTCATCTCTCGGCTATAAAAACAGAGAGAGGGTCACAACACAAATCACTACTACAGAACAACACAGAGCAAGAGATCAAATAGCAAAAAACTTATAATATTCTTTCAAAAGCAAAAATGGGGATCGTAGCATTCAACTGGACAGAGGGAAACAACAACCAACTCACGCTGCTGATGAACAGAGACAATTGGGAAAACAGGCAAGTTTAATATTCATTCTACATTTTTGGTTTTAATTTTGTGCATCAGACATTGTTGTTGAATACCTTTTTTGATTCTTTTTTTCTTTCTGTGAGTGATTAATAGGGTCATAAGTGGGGCATCTTGGAGTCGAAACGGCCAGATTTTGAGTGGTCGGTGCAAAGCTAACAACGGAACGTGGTTTGGTATCACTAAACGAGGCCGAGTCGCTTTTCTCGTGAATACATCGTTGTTGTTAGACCGCGTTAAGGCAAACAGCGGCTCGGAGTTGTATCCCGTTCATTTCTTGGAGGTTTGGTTTGTTTGCTTTTCTTCTCTTCATTTATATCCAAACTCTTTTCGATCTCTTTGATCACGGGATTGCTTTTGATTACAGGGCAATATGAGTCCAGACCAGTTTGCCAACGAACTGAGACTGCATGAAAAGCAGAGTAATGAAAGGCATGTCTATAGTCTTATCGTTGCAGACATGACTTCGAGTTCAATGGTTCATATCCTGAAACCCTTGGATACTAAGTCGGATGTCATAATAGAGACCGTTCCGTTTGGTGTGCATACACTTTCTTCTTACCAGGGCCTCGATTCCACAGAATCTTCCAGGGTAATTTTATCTACAAGTGTCTTGTAATAGAGTAGAGTTGTTACAACCATTTTGCAAATGTTTCGTATAGTTTCTTTTTTATGTCTAAAACCAAATCCTCTGTTTGCTTATTTTTTGGTATCATTCAGGATTCACGCCTGAGAGGCCTTTTTAGCCAGATGATTGTTGATTTGGGAAACATTGAAAAATCACAGATGGAGGGGATTGCTGGAAGGTTTATGTATGATGCTGCAGGAGGAAGAGACGCGGTGTTTCTCCAAACTAGAGATGATCATCCTTCTGGAAATGTAAGATATTGATCTACTGTTGTTATGATCCTCACTATATATCCCTTAATAAATCTCCTTTTTTCCCATTTCTATTCAGCTTGGAAGCCAACGCTTTGGAACAACAAGTACGACAGCATTGGTTGTGAAACGCACCAAGGAAGTGATGCTCTTTGAGAGGTACATGGAGGAGAATGGTGCATGGACCAAGAACCACTTCGCTTTCAACATCCAGTAGAGTTACAAAGAAGCTTTGGGCAGCATCCGAATATTATATTATAGTAGTAAATAATCTTGTTGATGCTGTAAATACATCTTTTTAATTAACCTTGTTAAGATTCAGGGAAACTTATTTCCTTGGTTTCTAGTCTATGAACATTATGCTTGATATAAATTAATAAATAGTGGATTTTCTTAAAGTTGACTTTATATTTTCCATCTATAAAATTCTTGAGCTATTTTCCAACTTAATATATGTATTTCTCAATTTCGGTGATAAACACCAAGCCATAGTTTGCACTTTGCAGAGTGAATGCAGACAATTGGGCTAACTTATATTCTTTTTGGAAATCCTGATTAAGCAATTTCAAGCAATTCGTCAAGACTCTAGCTAGTACTTTCTCCAAAGCGTTGACAGTACCACATCACTATTTTTTATAGTGACTCTAGACTCTAGCTAGTACTTGTGAACTTGTAGAAACGTAATTAAGAAATGAACAAAAACATTGAAATCAAGAAAAGCAAGAACATTTATGGGTATCAATCAAGAAAAAAACAAGAACGTATGAGTTTAGAAAAGACAAGAACATATAGAAATTAAGAAAAACCAGACGCACTAACATTTATCATAACATTGAAATCAAGAAAAAGCAAAACTCCTAGAGAAATTAAGCAGACTTGTCCTTGTTCTTCATTTCACATCTCCATGTCGAAAGTGATCAAGTTTTTAGTATGAATATTATGCAAATCTTCAACTTGTGTCACAAGAAATCTCTTTTCTCTTATTTTTTTGGGTAATAAGTCTTAATGATTCCACATGCACACATAAATGATCATTATACGAGAAAATTAAAACAGATCACATAGCTACTAGTCTAGGATTACAAATGCTAAGATCAAATAATAGGTGGATCTGAGTCTTAAACTTGTGTGCCACTAGAAACCACTTTTGTATATTTTTAGTATAGTACAAATATTTCTAAAGTGTTCCACATACACATTAGTCCTCCTTACTAAATCTGCATCTTCCATTTTACTTAGTATAGCAAATTGTGAAACTAGAAGCCACTTTATTCGTTTTACATACATGAATCTGTAAAAGTAAACTTCATTACATAGACAAGACTTCTGGTGGTTACTCGATGGAGGAGAGAGTATGATGGTGACAGAAAACAGCAAAAACTATATCCAAAATTGGATACAGAAGCTCTAAAACTTGTGTGCTATACAAGAAACTACTTCTTGTATATTCTTAGTATAGTAAAAAATAATTCTAAATGGTCTCCACATACACATGAGTCCTCCTTACTCAATCTGCTCGAAAGTGGAACAGTCAAGAAAATGTTGAAACTCTGCATCTTCAATTTTACTTATTATAGCACATTGTGTTACTAGAAACCACTTTATTCGTTTTACATATATGAATCTGTAAAAGTAAACTGTATAACATAGGCACGGTTCCTAGTGGTTAGTGAATGGAGGAGAGAGTATGTATGATAGTGACAGAAAACAGCAAAAACTATATCCAAAAATGGATAAAGAAGCTCTTAAGCGCGTTCGTGGAACTTACGTTGGAAGAAGTTGACAAGTAAAGGAAAAAGCATAGCACAGTGAATCATCTCTCGGCTATAAATACAAAGAGGGAGTCACAATACAAATCACAACAAGATCAGAAACAGATTCCAATAGTGAAAAACTTTAAACTAATCCGACTAGTGAAGAATGGACATAGACACAGTGACGTTTCTATATTGCGGTGACGGATTGGTGCTCCTCATGAAGACAGACGGCAATGAACGTGGGCAAGTCTAATTTATTCGACCTTTTGGGTTTAGTTTATGCATCAAAATCATTATTTTATCTAATTTTTCTATGTGATTAACAGCACACGCGAACCGTTGGCTTGGTCGGACGCTGATGGTTTAAGCTGTAAGAGGTGTGGCGTGGTATGGTTTGGTCATAAAGAAGGCCGAGTTGTTTTAATTTGTTCTCTTCCACTTTAATTTCACCTTGACCTTTGTATTCATGTATTTCTCAATCGAGCAACTTCTCACGCATACGTCAAATACTTTGTCGTCAAAAGCACTTGGACCACATCGAATTTTTAGATTTTGAACAATATTTCCATTAATGCAATATTCATATGTTTTTTTTTTCAAGAAGACATGTTTGATGGGGGAATATCTAGAGAGTTTTTCCGTAAACTAAGTTTTTAAGTTCTAACTTTCATTCAAAAAAAAAAAAAAAACAAACTAAGTTTGTAACAAAACCAATGCATGACGTGTCATATTCATATATATCTTGGAGATTTTGGGAGTGTTATCCGATTTTGTGAATATTAAATCAACTTTGATAGAGAACTTTAATCCATTCTTATTTAAAAATTAATTTTCAAAATTGTAAAAAGAAATAAATTTAGAATTTAAGAAATTGTAATTATTATTGGATGTATATTTTTGACCTTTTGTTGAAATCAATAACTATATAATATCTTCATGATTTCATCAAAGACTATCTAGAGTTTTAAATCATCTTTTAAAATCCATCAAAATTTAATTAAAACATGGTAATTTTGATTTTCTTATAATGGTGAGATTGTCTCTTGAAATGATCATTAAATTATATTTTGTTCTCTATTTATAACTTCCTTAGTAATAACTGGAATTGACAAACAAAAATAATCGAATCAACAAGCTAAAAAATCTTGCTTTGATTCAACTATGATCATGAATGATTTACCTTTGCATCTTCTCGACGAGATTCTCTTCAGATTAGAACCCAAATCCATGGCGATGATGCGATGTACAAACAAATCTATCAAATCGTATTTAACTGACCCAAGATTTGGACCTCAATACCCTTTATGGGTCAGATCCAATTTGATTAACCTTTCGACCTCTGACAGATCTCTCGTCGGCTGCCAGCCTTTGGTCTCTTCATCTGATTCTGTGGCACTAGAATACATAGCAGGGTTCATCAACGACCGATGTTACATTTTTGGCTCATGCTCCGGCCTTCTCCTAATATACATTGGTCATCTCTTCGTCGCAAATCCCTTGACAAAGAAGTTTCGAATCCTGAATCACTCTGGTTCAAAGCTTCTGCCTCACATAGTTGGTTGTGTCGAAAAGTATGATCCTTATGACCCCGATGGTCCCCTTGTTCGTCGTACAGAGAGAGCGATGTGCGTTGGTTTCGTGGTAGATCCATCTCAAACCACCAAGAGATTCAAGATCGTCTGCATACTTGAGATGGAAACGAAGTACAGATTCGAAATCAGCGACGGAGATTCTTGGAGGTTATCGAAAACGACCCTAACGACTAGCTCCAAAAGTGGTCTCAAGACGCGGATAAAACCTGTTTACGTAGACGGCAATCTTCACTGGTTGAGAAACGACTGGAGCCTCATAGCATTCAATCCCGAGACAGAGCAAGCACGACTGATTCCTTGTAGCTTCCATCCAACACCGGACACGAAGGTGCTTTTCGCAGCAAAAGATAAGATCAACCCCATGACCTTGATATCAGGGACGATAAAAGAAATCTCAATCTACACACTGCTTGGGAATCACAAGTGGGCACTCGAAAGGCAGATCAAGAATGTATCAATGGAGAAAACAAGGTTTAAATATTGGAACGTAGTTGCATATGACGGCAAGTGTCTAGTGGTGTTGGAGAATAATGTGGAAGCTGACAGTTGGCGAGTTTTGGGGGGAGTCGAATGTTGGTCCGAAGACTTCTATATGTTTACGCCCTCCTATTTCTCTATTGAGGAGGATGAGCAGACAAAGGTGATTGTAGCTTCTGATGACCAACACATCTCCTATCTAACTACACTTTTGGAAGTCATTGATCCAACAAGGTAAACTATCACATTGTTTGATTATTTTGAGACAATATATTATTATTAATCATCGCACTCACTCACTACCTGATTCCTTAAACCAGTCAAAGAGACCTCACAAAAAGGACGAATCCAAGCTTCTTCACAGGGACTTACAGATCCGGTCATTTCCGTTGCTATCAATTTTAAAATGTAGTGTAATCTACAACAATGGCGGAGGAGGTGGATTTAAGTTTCTCATAGGCAATTCATTCAAACATATTTGATGCATTTTCTAAATATCATGTTCCAGTGCATTATGATTAACTTGATATATAATAAAATCAATCATTCCTCTAATTATACGAGTTGTTCTGTCCTCATGTTCAAACTACACATCAGATTCTTATACACTTAGACACAGCATACCAGAAGTTATCAACAAGAAAACTTACCTATGAAGTTCAGAGATCAAGTGTATCCCATCACCTGCTCTCTCTCCCATCTCTTTGGGACCATAAGTTCTAATCCTAACTCAGAAAAAGACTGTAATCAATTCAAGCAATAACACTACACAAACATCAAAAAACCTTAATTTAATTGAACAATGGATATAATTGAACATCTAAAGACTACAAAGCAAAGCAGGTCCGTACCGGACTAGTGAGCCAGATGAGTGATTTGGACAAATGTGTCCCGTGTGTCCTTTGAGTTATGACTAAAATGTTGGAATCTCAAGTCATGCGTTAGCATTGTGACATTTTGATCTTATAATGTTACCGAATAATAATGGCTATATATGCCTAAATAAATTAAAATAAAACACACGACCAACAAACTGCCACCTCATCATCTTCATCTCCAACGTGTTTTGTTTAACGTCTTGGTTTCAATTTTACTCAGATTAGTAAAAGTATTTTCGAAGTGGTTCCACATACAAATGAATCCTCCTTACTCAATCAGCACTAGCTAGAGCCAATAGAATCGGACTACCCCAAAGCTAAGCTAAGACCAAAGAGTAGTTGGATTTGAGTTTTAAACTTGTGTGCTACTAGTAAACCACTTGTTGTATTTTCTTAGTATAGTAAAAATAATTCTGAATGGTTTCCACATAGACAAGTGAGTTCTCCTTACTCAATCCGAAAAAAGCTATAGAACAAAAGTGGAACAATTGGAGAAGTGTTGAAACAATGTGTCTTCCATATTACTTAGTATAGCAAGTTTATGCTACTAGAAGCCACTTTTTTCGTGGTTTTTCATAACATACATGAATCTGTAAAAGTAAATTGCATCACATAGACACGGCTCCTGGTGGTTAGTGAATGGAAGAGAGAGTATGTATGATGGTGACAGAAAACAGCAAAAGCTATATCCAAAAATGGATAAAGAAGCTCTTAAACGCTTTCGTGGAACTTACGTTGGAAGAAGTTGACAAGTAAAAGAAAAAGAAGAGCATAGTTGAATCATCTCTTGGCTATAAATAGAGAGAGGGGATCACAACTCACAAGTCACAACAAGATCAGAAACAGATTCCAATAGTGAAAAAAATTAAACGAATCCGACTAGAGAAGAATGGACACAGACACAGACACAGTGGTGTTTCAATGGAGCGGTGACGCATTCGTGCTCCTCGTGAACACAGGAGGCTATGAACCTAGGCAAGTCTAATTTATTTGACCTTTTGGGTTTAGTTTGTGCATCAAAATTGTACTTTATCTAAATTTCTGTGTGATTAACAGCACACCCGACCCTATGGTTTGGTCGGAAGCTAATGGTTTAAGAGGTACGCAAGAGAATTGGGGCAACGTATGGTTTGGTTATAAAGAAGGACGAGTTTTTTATCTTTCCAATAGCCATCAGCATTTTATTCACCTTGACCTGCTGCCCAGTTTCTTCGAGGTATATATAATTAGTGTATTTCTAATACATAAATAAATGTTATAGTTAAAAGTTTATTTTTGTTAAATTATTTGGATCTCAAGGCCGGATCGGATTTGCTTTGGTTATGCAGTGCGCAAAGACTCCACGTCGATTTGTAGAGGACTTTCCCCAAGAGGAAGTTGAAGCCTTTGGGCCTGGGTTGAAACTACTTGTAGCAGACATAAATACAGGATCAATGGTTTATGTCTGGAAAAGGTCTATACATGAAAAAAGACTCCATGTAGATGATGTTGCTCATGGTGTTCATACCATTTCTGAAACCGGATTTGATTCCAACTCTCTAAAGGTATTATACTAGAAAAAAATTTGTTAGGGGTAATCTATTCAAGGCAAATATTTTCTGAAAAATCAAACCCTCTTTTTGGTCTTATATGCAGGATAATTGTCTGAGAGAAAACTTTAATGCTATGATTGCTGGACATGCAGAACTGCCGCCAATTCAGAAAATTGTTGAGGATCTTATGAGGGAGCCTCCATTTTTTCTCGTTACTTTGGATATTCCTGTAAGAAAATTAAATCACTCAGCTCACACCTGCATGCATTGATGTTTTCTGGCTCAATCCTCTCATTCCACTTTACTTTCTCTTTTCTTTCTATTTAGGGCAAGAAGTATCGAACAGTACGTACATTCGGAATGGACATAAAAGCCAACAGACCAAAAGCGCGGTTCTATGAGAGGCATTTGAATGATGATGGTAAATGGGTAGGGCTAGGTGCGATAAGTGACCCGTACGTGTGATGCTGATGACTAGATAATTACAAATCTCCCTATTATTATTAATAAGTTAAATATCTAGTTGACCCTCCTGTTATATAAATCATATATTGTCGAATCCTTAAAATTAATAAATAAATGGTTGGTTTTACTATACTTTCTTACTTTTTCTCTACCACTTTATTTTCACCTTGTATTCAAGTATTTCTCAATGGAGCAACTTCTTAACGCAACGCTTAATTTGAGTGATTAGGTAATACAGAAACAAACTGAATTAAAGGAGAATGGTCGTTTCTTTATGCTGATCTAATAGTAATCTCATTGTTGAAGTATTTAGTCTAAAAATTAAAATCAATGGTATAAGACAATGTAGTATAAACCCAAGCAGAATCTCTTACAATAGCAGCAATGACGCAGAAGAATAGTCAAACCAAATCAACAAACACGGGGTTTATCATACAACTTGTCGAACCATTGATGTCTATTACAAGGGTAGATTAAAAAAACATTTGAAATTTGAATGAAATGCAGAGATAACTCATCGAGAAACTGGTGTTAAAGAGGCTAAGCGACCAAAAACTAAGAATGAATATGGAAATATAGGTTTGATTCGAAGCTTAGCAAAAGGAGAAGAATATCAAGTTCTATAATTGTACAAATTCAGTGATCAAACCTCAAAACTAAACATATGACAGTGTCGTCTCACTGTTCTTGCCAAGTCAGTTCAATGATCAAGAAGACAGCTTGATGCTTCCATTTCCCAAATGACACTAATTTGGTGCTTTAGGCTCCGAATCATCGCACTCACTTGTTCCTCTCTGACTACCTACCTGATTCCTTGAATCAGTCAAAGAGACTTCACAAATGCTTCAAAATCCACAGACTTTGACATTTAAAATAAAGTGGCATCTACTTCAACAATGGTGGATATCAGTTTCTTCTCTCAGGCATTTCATCAAAAAACATATTTGATGCATTTTCTAAAGATCATGTTCCAATGAACATCAGAATCAATCATTCCTCTAGTTAAAGACTAGTTGCTTCTATACTTAAAACTACACATCAGAGTCTTATACACTTAGACACAGCAACGTCTCACATCATCAATCTCATGAACAAAAATCTCAATCCTGTGAAGAGAGTGTGTGAGAGAGAGAGAGAGAGAGAGAGCATCAGCAGACCAGAAGTTATCAACAAGCAAACTTACCTGTGAAGTTCAGAGATCAAGTGTATCCCATCATTTGCTCTCTCTCCCATCTCTCTTTGCACCATAATTAAGTTCTAATCCTAACACTCAAAAATAGACTGTAATCAATTCAGGCGATAACACTACACTGCACATAAACAAAATCGACTAAAGACTAGAAAACAATGCGAGAAGAAGATTCATCGACGATTGAAAGATCAATTGTTTTCCTTATTTATGGCGGCGATGCAATTGATCCTCACATCCCCAAACCAGAAACCCTAGCCAAATTACAAATCCAAATCGAACCGGATTCTCGGGGAGATATTAAACCGAACCGGATGAATCTCCCTCACAAACACGTTCAATTCCTTCTCTCTCTTGTTATATGATAAAAGAACAAAAATGGCCTGGCCTTTCTTTTTTGGGTCCAGTTTAGCAAGCCCACTCAAACTCTTAATTATTTTTGAGTTAAAAGAATACTATAGAACCTCTCGTTTACTGAAAAAATAAGTATTACCCCAAATAAAGGCCCAACTATACGTACCTTAAAAAAAACAAGAGTAAATATCGAAGCTTGGGAAATAAATCTCATGTAAAATATTGAAGCATAGCCCAAATAAGGCCCAACTAAAATCGATTTGAAAACACCCTCAACATACAAAATCAATCACATAACCACAGAAGTCCCCCTAGCTATCAATCACCTCATCATCTCCATTTCAATTTTACTCAGATTAGTTAAAAGTATTTTCTAACTGGTGTGCTACTAGAGCCAATAGAATCGGACTACCAAAGCTAAGCTAAGACCAAAGAATAGTTGGATTTGAGTCTTAAACTTGTGTGCAGAGCCGGCTCTTTGCACAAGCCAATGAAGCATGTGCCTGTGACCCCATAATATAAATGTCTTAATCGGCCCCAAATTTGTAAAATGTCTCGTTAGTCTAGTGGTTTAAGTGTTAAAAGATACTATCTGGTATCCTGAGTTCGATCCTTCATAAAGACAGTTTTTACATTTTTTGATTTTTTTGCTTTGTTCACATAATAATTCAGCCCAAACATTAATTGGGCTTGTGGCCCCTATATTTACTGCGCCGGCTCTGCTTGTGTGCTACTAGTAAACCACTCATTGTATTTTCTTAATATAGTAAAAGAAATCATTCTTAACGTCTTCATTTCAATTTTACTCTGATTAGTAAAAGTATCTTTTGTAAATGGTTCCACATACGCTATACGCAATCAGCACTAGAGCCACTAGAATCGGACTACCAAAGCTAAGCTAAGACCAAAGAGTGGTTGGATTTGAGTTTTAAACTTGTGTGCTACTAGAAACCACTTGTTGTATTTTCTTACTATAGTAAAAGAATAATTCTAAATGGTTCCCACATAGACATGAGTCCTCCTTACGCCATCAGAAAAAAGCTGTAGAGCAAAAGTGGAAAAATTTGAGAAATGTTGAAACAATGTATCTTACTCATGACTCTCCTTAGTCAATAAGCTAGAGCAAAAGTGGATCAATTTGGAAAATATTGAATGAAACTCTGTTTCTTCATTGTACTTACTATAGCACATTGTGCTCTAGAAACCACCTTTTTTTTCTATATATCTTTGTCAAAAATAATTTGTATCACATACACATGCCTCCTCGGTACTCAATCGACGAGATTCTTAGTAGAGCATGATGATGACATAAAACAGCAAAAGCCATACTAAAATAAGATAATTAATCTCTTAAGCGCGTGAAGTAGTTGAAGTAGTAAAGGAAAAACAGAGCAGAGAATCGACTACAAGACCACAAGTGATTCATTCGATAGCAAACAAAATATGTGGACCTCATCATCTCCATCGTGTTTTCTTTAACGTCTTCATTTCAATTTTACTCGGATTAGTAAAAGTATTTTCTAAATGGTTCCACATACACATGACTTCTCTTCCATCACTCAATTAGCAAAAAGCTAGAGCAAACGTGGAACAATTTAGAAATGTTGAAACTCTACGTCTTCCATTTTACTTAGTATAGCACATTGATCTACTAGAAGCTACTAATTTCGTTTTACATACATGAATCTGTAAAAGTAAATTGTATAACATAGACACGGCTCATGGTGGTTACACGATGGAGGAGAGAGTATGACAGCGACAGAAAACAGAAAAAGCGAAACCCAAAAATGGATAAAGAAGCTCTTAAACGCGTTGGAAGAAATTGTAAGTAAAGGAAAAAGCAGAGAACAGTGAATCATCTCTCGGCTATAAAAAGAGAGAGAAGGGGGTCACAATACAAATCACAACAAGATCAGAAACAGATTCCAATAGTGAAAGAATTTAAACAAACCGGACGAGAGAAGAATGGGGACAGCGGCAGTAGAATGGAGAGGAAACGAATTCTTGCTCCTCGTGAACAGAGACAACTGGGATCATTTGCAAGTCTTAACTTATTCAAATCTTTTGGATTTAATTTATACGTCAATACTAATATGCATCCTTGATTAATTTGATCAAAAGGGAAGGAGAGGCTGCGGATGTGGAGGGTTCTACATTGCAATGTAGCGATGAGATGTGGGGCGGTTCATGGTTAGGTTATAAACAAGGCCGATTTGCTTTTCTTTTGGACAGCGATAATTTAAAACACAGCACTACCGTGATTCCTAGTTTCTTCAAGGTATAATTAGTGTGTTTCTAATACATTAATGTCATTATAAAAGTTTATTTCTCTGTTAAAATTATTAAGATCTCACGAGATTTGCTTTGGTTATGCAGTCCACAATGACTCCACGTGGGTTTGCCCATTTCTTGGACCAAACGGAAGCTAAATCCTTTGGGTTGAAGTTGCACCTAGTGTTAGCAGACATAGGTTCTGGATCAATGGTTTATGTCTCGAAAATGCCTGGAGATGAGGGAAGCCTCCGTATAATTGATGTTGCTCATGGTGTTCATACCATTTCTTCTGTAAACGGATTTGATTCCAGCTCTCACCAGGTAAATATAGTAGAAGCGTGTGTTGCAAATCTTTTTTGAAAAAATGAAACCCTAACTTTGGTCTTATATATATGCAGGATACAATTATGAGAAATTCGATTATTGCGAAGATTAATATTGCTGACTTTGAAAAAACAGAAGTGTCAATTGAGAAAATTGTTGAGGATGTGATGATGGACCCTCCAGTTTTCATCAACATGTTTGATTCTTCTGTAAGCAACTCACCTGCATGCATATTGATATTTCCGGGCTCCTCTCTGGCTCTCTCTCTCTAATCCCACTTTACTTTTCTGTTAATTTTTTGAATTTATTTAGGGCAATGTGGTGGTGCCGCGTACAAAACACACAGTGGGACTGGATGTGAAAGCCAATAGACCACACGCACACCTCTATGAGAAGCGTTTGAAGTCTGCTGGTAACTGGGACGACCGCTTTAGACAATTCGACAAGTGAACCGTGATGTTGATGACTAATACAAACCTCCTATCATTATTATTATTTATCATAAGTTATCTAGTTTACGCTATTATAAATAAAAATTTGTCGAATCAGGGAAACCTATTTTCCTGAGGTTAATACTCTTAAAAACTAATAAATAAATGGTTGGTTTTTCTAAACCTTCTTATGACGATGACTTAAATTTCGTTTGTATCTTCTTCAATCTATTAATTCAGTCCAATGGATGGGTTTTGCTTTAACTTTTCTTACTCTCTCTTCCACTTTACTTTCACCTTGTATTCATATATTTCTCAATCGAGTAACTTCACGCATTCGTCAAAACCAGTTTAATTAAGTTACTTTGTCGATCGTCAAAAGCACTTGGACCACATCGACCACATCGCATTTTTTTGTAATGACTCTTTTCTTTTTATATAGCAAACATGCTAACGTATCTAATCTTAATTTACGAAATTTCACCATAGACTTATTCCAACAAAGAATTTGTAGAAACTTTATTAAAATTTCTTTTGAAAAAATAATCTTTCCATTAATGCAACATTATTGTGAATATTAATCAACTTTCATAGAATGTTATTCATTAAATATTTAAAAAATAATTTTTCCATTAACTTTAATCCAATGTTATTCATTAAATATTTTTAAAAGTTTACATATAGATATATCTAGAAATTAAGAAAAATCTATCATTATTTGTTGAAATTAATAACTAATTGGTCATTTGACAATCTTAAAAAAACTATAAATATATAGTATTTCTATATCTTCATGATTTCATTAAGATAATTTATTATCTATAAATTTAAATTATCTTCCAAAATCCATCATTTTTTTGGGTCATCTGATAAATCAAATCCATCAAAATTTAATAAATAAAATTGGTGAGATTTTCCTTGCATTGATCATTACATATATATATATATATATATATATATATATATATATTTTTAAGTTAAATTTGTCCTCTCTATTTAACAACATCATCTGTAAATAATGAAACAAACAAAAATATTCGTATCAACAACAAGCAAAAATATATTATTCTGAATCATCGTACTCACTTGCTCGTCTCTTACTAACTGATTCCTTGAACCAGTCAAATAAACTTCACAAAGATGACTAGTCAAACAATCTTCAAAAGGACTTCCAGATCCCGTCATTTCCTTATCTTGGCGGGGGAGGTGGATAGGATTTAAGTTTCGCTTTCATTCAAACATATTTGATGCATTTTCTAAATATCATGTTCCAATGCATTATGATAAACTTGATATAAAATAAAATCAATCATTACTCTAATTATACGAGTTGTTCTGTCCTCATGTTTAAACTACACATCAAATTCTTCAACACTTAAATCACAGCAACGTCTCACATCATCAATCTCAGCAACAAAAACCTCAATCAGGTGCAGAGTGTGTGAGAGAGAGCATCAGCAGACCAGTAGTTATCAACAAGCAAACTTACCTGTGAAGTTCAGAGATCAAGTGTATCCCATCATTTGCTCTCTCTCTCCCTCTTTGCACCATAAGTTCTAATCCTAACTCAAAAAAGATGTAATCAATTCAAGCAGTAACACTACACAAACATCAAAAAACCTTAATTTTATTGAGCAATGGATATAAGTGAAAATCTAAGACTACAAAGCGAAGCAAGAAAAGATCCATGGACGATTGAAATATCAAAATGTTTTCCATAATCAAGGCGGCGATGCAGGAGCTCATATATATCGAACAATTTCTCCCAAATCGAATTCGCATTTTAAAACCACAAACCCTAGAAAACTAATAAATCCAAATCAAACCGGATGACCGACGCAGCAAACCGAACCGGATTCTCGAGGAGATTGATATATTAATGAGAATAAATATATCCGTAATTACTGCTATGATTTTAAATTAATTATTTAGGGACCAAAATAAGGGCAATGAGTCATATCGCTTGCCGCTGAATTCTCACGCTGAGAAGAAGCACAAGAGAAAACACATAACCAAAGGCCAAGGATCAAAACTTGAGAAGATAATAGCCAATAACGTGAAACCACACGGATCGATGACCTGGCAAAATATATTTGAAATCCCGCCTAAACCCCTCAGTTTTTACATTTTCGTGCGAAATTTCAATTTTTTCAATATCCTTTATTGATTGACCAAAGATATTTTACAAGCCTTTCTCCACTAAGCCCTTCTCTCTTCTCTCTTGGCCTCTCACTTGAATCTCCCACAAATTGATCAATCACAAATTCCTTCTTCTTCTCTCTCTCTCTTCTCGATCCCTACGATTTTCCTCGCCAAGGTAATTTTCTTCGTTTTTCTTGTTTGATTTTGTGTGTTCGATCTGTTTTGGTGATGGTTTTTGGCTATTCATATCGAATTCCACGTTTCAAAATTTGAATTTCATGTTCTGGATGATTGTGATTTATGCTTGACTTGCTTAGTTTCTGTAGCATCTATCTCGATTTTGGATGTGTATCGATCTGTTTAGATGATAATTTTTCAATTATCGCTTCTATGTATAGAATCGAATTTTCTACAGCTTGCGATAGTTTCTTCGCTGATCTTGTGATATGTTTGCAGAATCAATTATGAAAGGAGCTAAATCAAAGACTGAAACCAGGAGCTCCAAGTAAGTCTCAGCTAGATCTATTTGTGAATTTGTTTTGGTTAGATCTCTGGAATTTAAATTCCTGTCCATGTCGTTGTATGTTTTTCTGAAGCGTTTTGTTACTTCATTTTTGTGGTGATAGGCTCTCTGTGACCAAGAAGCCGGCAAAAGGAGCAGGGCGTGGCAAAGCGGCTGCTAAGGATCCAAACAAACCAAAGAGGCCAGCCAGTGCCTTCTTCGTTTTCATGTAATCTTCGCCTCAAATTCTCTGTGTTCAGTAGTTTCCATGGATAAAACTTTTATTGCCGTACAAAAGTTTTTTCATCTGGTTACTACCAATCTTTATTTAAAGGTGAGATTAATAGAGAATCCTTTGTCTGCTATCGTTGAGTCAAAAAGTATCTGATAGTACTCCAACGAATCTCTTATTATTCTTTGTGAATTATTCTCACTATTGAACTGATTGTTGATGGTTCCTTTATCCTGTGTGTTAATACTTGTGTTGACATTTTGTGATACGTAGGGAAGATTTCCGTGAGACTTTCAAGAAGGAAAACCCCAAGAACAAGTCTGTTGCTACTGTGAGTGTTATTTGTGGTCAATTTAAAACTTCTTGTACCTTAATCTTTGGATTTATAAAGTTGTGCTGACTACTGATGGTGAATTACAGGTTGGAAAAGCTGCTGGAGACAAGTGGAAATCCTTGTCAGATTCTGTACGTTCTCTTTTTCTGAACAGTTTGACCAGAATTTAGTTATGATTTAGAATGTCACGTTTCTTAATGTAACAATGAAAGTCTGATGATATGTGTGGTGGGTTTTACAATATTTCAGGAGAAAGCTCCTTATGTTGCTAAGGCTGAGAAACGCAAGGTTGAATATGAGAAGAACATTAAAGCTTACAACAAGAAATTGGTAAATCAAATGTCAATCATGTGTCAATTTTAAAGAAAGTGATAGTTGTCTGACCAATCATGATATGGTTGTGGTTTTAGGAGGAAGGTCCAAAGGAAGATGAGGAATCTGACAAGTCAGTGTCAGAGGTCAATGACGAGGATGATGCTGAGGATGGTAGTGAAGAGGTTAGTGGTTGAGTCTTTTAATGTTATTTTTACATCATTGCATATATAAAGACCTTTGTTTTTAATTCTTGTTACTTTTGTCTGTTATTAAAATGCAGGAGGAGGACGATGACTAAAGAAGCTGAAGTTGTGGTAGCATTAGTATAGATGGCTGCAAAGATCTCTCTGGGCGATTATCCTTTTTTATTTTATTTTACTTGAAATGTTGATGGGGCTGATTAAAAGGGTCTTTCTTTTATCTTGTATTTCCACGGTCTCCCACTAAAGCCCTTTGGATGGAGAAAGTGAATTGTAGAATGTTTAGATGGTGAAAGTGAGACTTGCAGCTCTGTACTCTTTGCCCTATAAAACAATTTAGTTTTCTTTTCTCATTTATGATATAAATCGTTAATGATGTTGGTTAAATCTTTTGTCAGTTTGTAAAAAATTGTCACCATAGTGTTGTTATATATTCCTTAAGCATTATTTTGTCAGAAAAAAATGTGCCTTAAACTCTAGCATCGTTAATTATCCACAAATGTGCCATAATCATGGTGTGTTAGGTTGATGGGGGTTTAACCACTAAATCGTTCTTACTCAAGTTTTTTCACAAACTGTGATTAATGGCTAAATTGTCTTAAATTAAGCAAGTTTGTAAAATATAACAAGGGCATGTTGACTTAGTTTTCTTCAGAAAGAGTAAAAGTAATCCTGATCCATCTCTATTCTAGAGATCAGTTTTCTTTTCATTTTGCTTAAAAGGAAATTAAACATAAAGATTAAAGAAATTAATTATGTGAATTGATTAGTTAATCATACACAGATATGGAAAGTATTAATAATATTTTAGGAAAGAGAAGATTCGAGTATGATTCTGTCATTAAGCCTCGCTTTCGAATTTGACCTAACCGATCTGTTTTTTTTTTTTTTCTCTTAAATAAATAAATACAAATTTACGAAACACAGAAGAAAACACAAGGATAAAAAAGGCGCGAGAATGTGAAAAGCCAGTGATGAGAAACCACTCGGATCGATGACGTGGCGAAATATATTTGAAATCCCGCCTAAACCCCTAAAGAATTTTCACATGTCGTGGGAAATTGAAATATCTTTTAATTGTTTCATCAGATATTTTAACATCCCCCACTTAACCCTCTCATCTCTCGGCCTCTCACTCGAATCTCCTTCACAAAGCGTACAATTCACAAACACCTTGTTATTCTCTCTTTACTCTCTCTCTATTTCTCTCTCTTCAACACCTACGAAGATCTTCTTCAAGGTAATTTCCTTCGATTTTTTTTCCAGTTTCCGTCTCTAATTCGTCTTGATTCTCTGCGTTTCGATCTCTAGATGTGATAATTTCGTCTCCACAATTGTTTTTCCTCAGCTTAGAACCGAATATTCTCTGCTGCTAGGTTTTTTCTCTGTTTAATTCCTATTTCTACTTTTGTTTCTGCAGAATCAATCATGAAAGGAGGTAAATCCAAGACTGAAACCAGGAACGCAAAGTGAGTTTTTCACCTAGATCGATTAATTTTTTTGTTTTCTAGTTAATTCCTAGATCTCTGGATTCAGATCCGTATTCAAAACTCGTTGTCGTTTTCTGACTCAATTTTTGTTGGTGATGGATGATATAGGCTCTCTGTGACTAAGAAGCCTGCGAAGGGAGGCAAAGGTGCTGCTAAAGATCCAAACAAACCTAAGAGGCCTTCCAGTGCCTTCTTCGTGTTCATGTAATCCTTCGTTTCTTCAATTTTCTCTGTTTAGTACTTCTGCTTTGGTTCTATGGAATAACTTTATTCTGGTCAAAAGTTCTGAATCTGACTCGTACGATTCTTTTTCAAAAGCGAGATTAGTACCATTTTTTGTTTGCTATCGTACTATTGATGTTATTGTTCATTCCTAAATGTTCTGGATCGTTGACTGTATAATCCAGTTAGTATCGTTAATTATTCATAAACTGATTCTATTTAAGTGTGCTAAAACTTGCGTTGATTTATGATTTGTAGGGAAGATTTCCGTGAGACGTACAAGAAGGAGCACCCCAAGAACAAGTCTGTCGCTGCTGTGAGTTGTGATTTGTTGCTCCTATTCCAAAACTTGTTTGATGATTTTTTTTTTTTTTTGCCTTAGCTTTTTGTGTTTGAAGTTGTTACTAACAATGAATTTCAATGGATTATAGGTTGGCAAAGCTGGTGGTGAAAAGTGGAAATCGTTGTCTGACTCTGTGCGTTTTCTAAGCTAGTTATCTATAGTTGTGTATTAAGTCAATTGTTTCAAGTGTGTTATTAACCTGTGGGTGTTATAATAATGTAGGAGAAGGCTCCTTATGTGGCTAAAGCTGACAAGCGCAAGGTCGAGTATGAGAAGAACATGAAAGCCTACAACAAGAAACTGGTAAATTGGTTATTTGCATTCAGTTCATACAAGGCTGTGTTATGTTTATACTGATCACGTTATTGGGTTGTCTGCTTTCTTTATACTAGTCAGTAGTCACATTATTGAAAGGCTTTTTATACTAATATCATATGATTGAAGTGTGAGTTATGTTTATTTTAAACAATGATGATACAAGCAACTGGTAATTGGGTTAGTGGTAGTGCTTGAATAACAGTGGTTTGTTGTGTTTTCAGGAGGAAGGTCCAAAGGAAGATGAGGAATCTGACAAGTCAGTCTCAGAGGTAAACGATGAGGATGATGCTGAGGATGGGAGTGAAGAGGTTTGGGGTTGATTCTATTAGCTATTTTGCATCATTGCATCTAAATAAATATCTTTGGTATGAAGAAGTAAATCATTGTATTAACTCTGTTATATATGCAATGTAGGAGGAAGACGATGACTAAGAAGTTGAAGTTGTGGTAGCATAATATAGAAGGCTGCAAGGAATCTCTCGGATGTTTTTTATCTTTTCTCTTAAAATATTAATTCGGCTGGTTAAAGTGGCTCTTTTTTTTTTTCTCTTTCTTTTTTACTGATGTTTCGTTTTAGTAAGCAATCACCTATCTTCCCACTGATTCTACGGGTAATGGAAAAAGTATGTAGAATGTTTAGATGAATGAGAGATTTGCAGCTTTATATAATGAATGATTTAGCTTTTTAATTACTCTACGTTTGTTATTACCTTAATGCTCTTTAAACTCTGTTTGTAGTTGATAACTTGATAATTGTCTTATGTGGATTTATAACCCTGAAAAAATTATTAGTATAAAACCATGTTTTTACTTTTATCATATTGGGGTTGTAACGATTGCATAATCACGCTCTTAATCAATGTGTTCCATAAAGTGTAAACCATGTTTTTACTTTTTGTTTGGTTAATTGACTTTAGACACACAGGTTGATAAAATTGGTTTAAGGCCATTCTTTGAACTTTCCAAATGGACCAACGCCATGTCATATGGTTCCCTTTTCATCATTTGAAAAAAAATAAAAGTTTACAGGAGAATTGAGTTTCTCTATGGATGTATTACTTCGTTTAACATAAGAAGTAAGTTAAAATTTTGATCATTTTGACAAAAGTGAAGATTTGAGTGAAATCCGCGTAATAGCAGCAGAAATGCAGAATAGTCTCACTTATGTTATAATCAATATCTTTATTATATCAACGAACCTTTTTGGTCAAATTCATATATTTTTTTCTTAATCAACTAACAAAAGAAAGCATGCTCTTCTTTATTTTCTCAATAGTTTAATCATTAGTCATAAGTCACAACGATAATATATTATATAATGCTGTGATTAAGCCTTGCTTCCGGCTTTACCCAACCACTATATACATAAAGTAAGATACACAGTTTGTGTTCCTCTACGGATACAAGCTACTGATGTAACCAATACCTGGAATTAATTAGGTTGTTTTTATATATTAGTGTGGTGTCTTATTATGTCATCAACACATAGGATTAAGATAATCTTAGATATTTTTGGATGAACACATTTTTCTTTTCCAAATGGTGGATATCTTGACCCGTAAAACTCGATTAAAGTGTTGAAATTCTAACACAAAATTGTGAACACCGTTGACCAAAATCTATCCTAGTTATAGCCATAATTTTCCAAAGTTTTTAATTTGTGACCAAAAATTTGGATTATTTACAGAAAAATAATCTAATTTAATCATTTACAATTGTATCTCTAGCTACCCTGTAATAAACTGGTAACAGACAAGATTAAATCGGACCAATTGATCATTAGTCAAGACATCTTTTCCAAAAAGTGTTTAATTTAACGGTAACAAGTAAACAAAAGATCCTTTATTCACTAAACAAAAGAATATATATCATTCACTTTCTCATTGTCTTGTTCATATAGTAAAAAAATGGAAAAGGAGAAAAGCAAATTGATAGAAGAGATGGAGAGGGAGACGCAAAACGGTGCGTATAATGGGAGAGTGATGACGGAGGAGCAGATGGAGATCCTCCGTAAGCAGATCGCCGTTTACGCCGTTATTTGTGACCAGCTCGTCCTCCTCCACAACTCTCTCTCTTCTTTCAATCCCCTCTCATCAGGTAACACTTCTCTCTCTAAGTGTGTGTTCTTCTGATTTACAACGATCACGTTATTATATGTCTTAGATTTTTACAAAAAGACCATTGAGCTTCTTTGCATACGGTAGATGAAGTGTGTAAGAAGAAAGTTTTAAACGCAGCGTTTTTTGCGATGCAAACGTTGTTTCCATTCGTACACTTGAACCACTGAGATTTTAGTATTATAAAGTGAAAACTGTGTTTGCCGTTTGGTATACAACTAACGAACTCAAAACGCTTTTTTTTTAGTGTTCGATGCATAACTTTGAATCAAATTTCATAATGTTTTAGACATTCGAAGACAGTTTACCTACCGCTTAGATATCGATTCATCATTGCTAAAAAAATTTGTTATTTAATTTTCTTTATTAAAGTATTGCTATTTATAGATATAGTTTATAATCGCTTAGACTGATCAATTCGATCAATTATTTATTTTTTTCTCCAAATTTAATCCGATTTTGAGTATAATCACCTCGTGGCCGATTTTTTAGAAGCTTGGTTTGAATGAGGGTTATTAGTGTTATGTGGTTTTGATAATACATATATTGTACTTGCAAGAAACTTAAGAGTCACGTCACTGATTTTTTCTGTAATGATTTTGAGTATAAAAAGGAGTGAGGCCAGTGGTTGGCGGATACTTTGATCCGATGGGGACATCGTCAAGTTCTCATAGGATATCGACTAGGCATCGGTGGACTCCGACTTCAACACAGCTTCAGATACTTGAGAGCATTTACGAGGAAGGAAGCGGAACACCGAATCGACGGAGGATTAGAGAGATTGCAACGGAGCTGTCTGAACATGGACAGATCACGGAAACAAATGTCTACAATTGGTTTCAGAACCGGCGAGCTAGGTCCAAACGAAAGCAGCCTCAAACAACGACGGCTAATGGTCAGGCTGACGATGTGACCGTGACAGCGGAGGAAAGGAGGAGTTGTGGAGATTCAGGAGGATTAGAGTCTTATGAGCATATACTTTTCCCAAGTCCTGATTTAGGTAAAGATCATTTGAGTTTTCTTGCATTTCATTAGGTTTAAACTTTTTTTTTTTTTAAATTGGTTTGAGTTCAAATTGAGTTTTGAGTTTGAAGCGGTGGTTGGTTGTCTTTTTTTTGTGGTTTCAGGGATTGAGCACTTGTTGAGTATAGGGAAATTTATGGAGAGTTAAATTCGTATAGACTGACATAAAGGGACGATGAAGAAGATCTCTAATCTCTTCTTTTTTCTTTTCTCTGTTTTCATAAAACAGAATTGTGTGTGTGACATTAACAACAAGTCTTTTATTGTACTTTTGTGTTCCTCAAATTGATATGCCCACACCTTCTTTAGCATCAGAAAGAAAAGTGAGGCCATATAAAACTCGGTTTATATATTGGCCTGTAAATCTCGATTAAAATGACACTAAACAGTGGAAACAATTGACAAAAACCGATCCTAGTTATGATAATAGCCTTTTCCATTGTTATTAAATTTAAATGTATTGTCATCTCACAAAAATCATATAAAATCGGATATTGGTTATATGACAACAAAATTAGAATATAATTATATCAATTATAATCCAATTGTATCCGAAAATTACCTCAATTAACTGGTAATTGAAAAAAAAAAAACAAATCGGACCAATTGATCATCTTTCCAAAAATGTGTTTAAAGTTAACGGTAACAAATAAACTAAAGATTTCTATAAAAAAAAAAAAGTATACATAGCTCATTCACTTCCTCATTGTCTTCTTCATATGGTAAAAAGAAGAGAGGAGAAGACAAAGTGGTGAAAGAGGAGATGGAGCAAGAGAGCCTAAACGGTACGTTTGATGATAGAGTAATGACGGAGGAGCAAATGGAGGCTCTCCGTAAGCAAATCGCCATTTACGCAGTTCTTTGTGACCAGCTCGTCTTCCTCCACAATTCTCTTTCTTCTGTCCCACTTCTCTCATCAGGTACGTACAATACTCCATAATTGGATTTGGGAGAAACTTAAGGGTCACGTAACTGAATTTTTATGGTAATGATTTGAGAATATACAATAGGAATGAATTCAATGGGAGGCGGATACTTTGATCCGATGGTGGCATCGTCAAGCGCTCATGGAATGTCGACTCGGCATCGATGGACTCCAACGTCAATGCAACTTCAGATTCTCGAGAACATTTACAAGGAAGGAAGTGGAACCCCAAATCCGCGGAGAATTAAAGAGATCACGATGGAACTGTCTGAACATGGAGAAATCACGGAGAAAAGTGTCTACAATTGGTTTCAAAACCGACGAGCTCGGTCCAAACGAAAGCAACCTCAGACAACGACAATTACCTCTGGTCAGGCGGATGATGCGGCCGTGACAACAACTGATGAGAGAGAGAGTTGTGGAGGAGATTCTGGAGCGTTTGAGTCTTATGAGCATATACTTTTCCCGAGTCCTGATTTAGGTAAATATCTTACTATATGATTTTTATGTGTCTATGCATCGTATTTTGGTTTAATTGAGTCAGAGATGATTGGTGAACTTTTTGTGGTTTCAGGGATTGAGCATTTGCTGAATAGGGACAAATTTATAGACTGAGAGTGAAACAAAGATGAAGAACTCTCCTCCCTCTGCTCTTCTTTGGTTTTCTCAATAAATTGATATCATCGTGTGTAGAATTTACTTTCTGTGGCCATTCAACAATTTTTTTTTTAATTGTAGAATTTACTTTTCACAAATTTCTGGTAAAACATGTATATACACGTACCTAACTCATCATGAACTACTCGAATTAACAAGGGATTGCCACTACCTGAACATAAATTAAGTTCTGAACGAAGCGGGCCATGTTTAGATGCAAAAACCAATCTTTCTTCGGCCACATGAGCAAAGTTCCTTGGTTCGTTTATGACAACTTGGTGCTGGTTTGGCTGTCTTGACTTATTCCTCATTATGAATCAGACCGCTTCATCTTGTTGATGCATCCTTTCTCTAGGTTTTCTGGCTCGTTGGCAAATTGCGTTTTGGTAGTCTCAACTGCACAGAATCAAGATTGAAGTGTGGGATCAGACTAACAATGTAAACAGAAACCGGAATGCATGGTAATATTGTCTTTACAGACCTTTGATTTTGTAGTCCTCCAGCCTCCTGAATCTTGCTGCTGATTTGGGGAGTATGCAAATCTTTCTATTGACTTAAACACATCACTCTTATCCACAGCTGCATTAGTCTCAGCAAGAGGTTCCTACAATATTCATTAGGTTATTATTATTTATGCACACAGTGTAATTGATACCACAAGCTTTGTCCTGAAAGAATTGAAACAAATTCAGTCCTGTTTCAAAATCTTTCGCATCTCCATTTGTCCCAAACTGAAGCCTCAAATTGCTTCTAAAGACTTAAGGGTTTGCAAGAATACCTTGTGCTTTAACGTTGAATCCTTGCTTGCAGCTTCATTAGTGACTTCTAGATGATCAGCAAAGAACAAAATCTGCAAACAAGTAAAATTAGATCTTGATATTAGCGAGAGCTCAAGACAATAATCCCAATCACTCAAAGGAATCACCACTAAAGTCAGCTTACTTTGCTCAAAAACTGGACATTTGATGAATCAGTAGCCATGACTTGCACTCCGAGACATGTGTTTGGAATACTGCAGAAAGGGCAAGAGATAGTATTGAAAACACATCCATCTTGCTCGCACCAAATTCCCTGACCTTTTGAGCCTTCAAATTTTCTGCAGAGTCTCTGATTAACCATTGAGCAATCTGTCATGATAATTGAAACACTTGTTGGCATTTCTGCAGCTCCAGTTCTTGACGTTTTTTTCAGAAGAGACAGCAAATACTTTTTGGAAGACGAAGTCAACAAGCAATTGAGATATGAGTGATTCTCAGGTAGACCTAATGGACTTCTGCAGAGCGAACAAGAAAGCTGCACTTTCTGATTCACTTCTGGAAAAGAATATATGTTGAAGTTTTGGGATTTTGGTTCCGTACTCCCACATCCAAACTCAATTTTTCTTGTTAAAGTCATGTGTTCCGAGGGTCTAGTACTAGGAGCATCGCTGTTTTCGTCTTCAAGGTCAATGACAGGAGAGCTGGTAAACTTTCTTCGCTTCAAAGCTTGAGAATTAACGCTCATGTTGAAAGATGACTCTGCTTCTAGAGTCAAACTACGGGTGTCACCAAAGGAATATCTCTCAGAAGTTGCTACTACGGACGACTCAGCTCCAAGAGGAGATTTTCTGAAATTTGGAGTAGATATATGCTGCTTTAATAATTGATCAGGAGACCTCGGAGATCTCCGACCTATTGTTGTTGGACTAGAGCTTTCATTCACCGAGCAAGAACATGGACTGGCAACTGAAATACCATTGATCATACCAGAGCTTTCCTTGACAAAAGATGTTTCCAGATCTTCATCATAGTTGGTCACCGATGATACCTCACAATACCTGCACATGAAGGTTGTTAAGTTTTCTTAAGGATCTGCATAATATAACCTTACATTCTGCGGTATTTCAAATCAAGGTCCACATGACATGCTACTCTTCTAGTTGAAGCTAACACTAACAAACATGCTACTTTAGGACAATTTATCAAGCATTACACGTGAGATAGAAATGGTACAGATCTAATTAGATATTTCTTAAGAAAACTTGTCTGATTTATTTACCCAGGCTCAGGTTGGACACCGCACTCAAGGTCAATAACTTCTCTACAGCATTCAGCTTCCTCTTTAACTTGAACAAATGTCTGCGCCGAATGCCCCATGTATCTCAAATCTTCAGCTATTTTTGGTTCCACATCTCTGTGATCCCCAAAGGCTTTGCTTTCATCTATAAAAGGATATTTTGGATTCGAATTTGTGTAGTTCTCCACGTCCTCCACCTGCACACAAATTCATTATCAATAACAAAATGAATTCATAAGAGAACACCACAACACAGAATAAATTGTTTGCTTTAAAATGTACTTTTGGTTCCACTTGACTAGATTTGTTCTGAATCTGATTTTCCTTCCTTCTGTATTCTTTGCTTTGGTTTTCCAAGGAAAAGTTCTTCTCAACAGTATCGTCCTGGGACCCTAACATCTTACTGTCAACTTGCTCCTGCATGCAATTTTCAGAGAATTTTAATGATTATGTAATAAAGTTTCAAGGAAGGGAATGAGATTGTTTTGAACCTTGACACTGTTGAAAAAATATCTCAACCCTTCCATAGATGCTTCAAAATTATCATACACTTTGATAGACTGCCTTAGCCACTTTGAAATAGACGCTCTGTTCCTTTGTTCTTTGTATCGCTCATCTGGACACCAAAACAAGACAACCTCAGAGCTATCATAACTGAATTGATCTTAATTTTTAATAAAGTTGAGTAATGAAATCTTATAATTACCTAAGAATATGATGGCACCATAATCAAACCTATGCCGGATACATCGTCCTATAAATAAATATACCATGGCAGAATAACCTGTTACAGTATTAAAATTGACTGGAATAACGAAGTGACAGAATGCAAGTTATCACATTGCACCTGCAGCTTGATTTAGAGCACGATAGGCCTGTTGGCAATACCATTCACTCCCTCCAAGAAGACTTTTAGATGACTTGTAGGTATCATTATATTTTTTCTTCAGTCCGACTTGAATATCATGTCTGGCAAGAAAGTGATTAATTAGAAAACTGTTCCCCCCTAAGATGGATTGGAACAAAGCTCAAAGAATTTAGAGGAATTCTTACAAGTTTGGAAATGGAATGCCAACAATTATCTGTATGTAAACATCAAGGTTTAACAGTCCATTCATAAGACAGTTTGAGCAGTATAAATCTTATTTATCAAAAATATCCAAGACAATGCAGCTAAAAAGGATACCACTGCCCTGGCGTTGTCATCAGCAAAGTCAATCCCTTCTGAAACCTGTTAGAAGCATAGCTTTAAACTCAAACCTCAAGTCATTCATGTTTTTAAACACGCTATATTCTTTGAATGATAAAAGGTACCCATGTCATGCTCATAGGATCCAATGACACCCAATATCTTAAGATTGGATTGCTTTGTTTAATAGAAACTAAGACAAGAGCAAAAACAAAAACAAACCTTTCCTCTACATACTGCAAGAAATGCAGCTCCCTTCTTGGAATCATCTTGAGTCTCAGTTTTAATAGGCCCTGCTTTCTTAGCTCTTCTATTTCTTCCAACTAATTTATTCTTCCCGCGTATAGAATCATAATATCCCTTCAGAACAGAATCAAATTCGTCCTGGGCGCCTCCTCTTGGTTCTGCAATAAAGGACACTTATTCGAGATTTTTGACAAGAAAAAAGAAAACCATCACAATATGATTTGTTGCAACAGTTACTCACCAACAAAAAGGTCCTTTTTCAAGCAGAGCCGAGACCACTGCCCAGTTTCACGCCAACGCGTGCAGAGTTTTTCCATCAACTTATAGCTTGGAAAGAATATCAGAGAGCCTCCTGGTACAATAGTGCAGATTTCTTCCAATGATTTCCCAAGAGCATCCTTCAAAGAAAAGTAGAGCATTGCATTCACGATACACAAAAACAATGCATCACAGTACAAGATGAACACATTTACAAGCAAAAAGAGCTTGACCCAGTGACTAAAAATGACCGGTACCTGGAATGAATATGTATCAGCTGTTTTATAACTTGCATTTAGAGGATAATTACTAGGACCATTGGAGATTGCGCCAGCCCACACCTGGAACGAAGATATTGTTAAATCTCACATTCAATTCTCGAAACTGTTACTAAGTGGAGAGCTTAAGTCAAAACCTGCATATTAGGATCAATAACATGTGGAGCCTCTAAAGAAGTGCCAAACTGCATCCCAAGTTCAGATGAGAAAGAATTCATTGGTGACAAAGTCCTATATTTCACAACCGCAAAACTTAATCATTACTGAACGAGATGGCTCAAAAAATAATAAAAATTAAGCTAACAATTACAAATGGGTTAAGGAGGGGAGTAGAACGCTATGCACATATTGAATGTGAAGCACAAAAACTAAATGTGTGATAAAACTTAACAAAAAGAATAATGCGTATGATCATTGTACACTGAAGACGTTGTGGTTTTAAACAAGACTTATATAACAGGCCGTTATTACTTGCAAAATTTCAGATGGAAAAAGGTGTAGGTGACTTTGTACTGGATAACATAATTTTTTGCAGAAGCAATAGTAAGAAACAGGAAACTACAGCTTACCCAGATGTTAAAATGATGGATAAAGATATATCAGCTAAGTCTTTGAAAACAACAGCAGGATTCATGCACCACAAACTGAAAGTATGCGTCCAGGTACGAGAAGGATCTCCTGCAGCCAAGTAGAGCAACAATGAACACCTTTTGTTTTTACAGACAGGTAAAATTTTCACACATTCGGTTCAAAAGGTGTATCAAAATTCAGTTCTACCTCTTTTAGTAGAGCGTTGTAAACCCAGTTGGTAATCTAAGATGTGACTTCCATTTCTTGAAAAGAAGTATGTAAGTGAAGAGAACAACTCTGCATGAATATAGTGCAATAAGCTCTCATCCTCGAAATGATTTTACAGGAAACAATGCTTAAAAAGTTAGGGAGACGCAAAAAACCTTCTAGTGTCAAGACAGATATCCCGCTCAAATAAAGCATATCTGATTCCATTTCTGCCTCCTTTGATGTTCTGATAGCCTAGAACAGTAATCACAATTGCACATTCAAGCATCATATAAGGCCTGTGGGCCTAGCCAGATAACATTGAAGGAATGACTAACCTTTGTAAAGCATTCCAATAAGATTGGGAAGCATTCACGAGTGATATTAGATTCCTCAAGCTCTCTTAAAGCTTTGTCTCCAGTCCAGCTGCAATCATGTCATTGTAGAACTAAAATGATACTTGGTTACTGTTTTACAAACACGGTTTCCCTACTTAACTTGAAATGTTTTGGGAAAGAAAGTTAACCAATGGCAGGTGAATTATTTCCTGGTAACACTAGATTATCTGATAACTACATATACAATGCAGATTATGCCTACATGCAAGTGCACAAAATTTTCTGGTGGGTTATCACAAGGTATATATCTAACCACATTTCAGACACCAATGCTACATAGAGTAACAATGTATTCAGCTGTTAAGAGTTGTCCAAACAAGACCAGTTCTCATGGAAAATAAGAAAACTAAAAATATAAATACAGTTAAAACATTTAAAATTTTTAGAAGTAATGCACATGTTTAAAAGAAGAGTATCAACGTACCTAGAGAAATAATGCTGAAAATCACGTTTTGCTAATGAGTCCTTTTTTCTTCCAATCCAGCTTATTAGTCCCTAAATACATAGAACACTCAATATTAAAAAGTTATCAGCAAAGATACATCCGAAAATTATCTTGCAGTTAAAATGACTTACCTCTACTACTTCACACAAGGGTTGATAAATCATTGGCTGCGCCAAGCTCATCTGTTCTAGTTCATTCTGTAATTCTGCATAACACTTAAACCACATTAGTAAAGGAAACGAAGTGAACAAAACCATGAATATCTGCAAGGATAGTTTGAGTGGTACATACTGAAAAGAGTGTCTTCTTCCAAATTAATGCTTCCTGCTTCACGAGCAATGTCTTCCATATTACTGTGGACAGTGAAAGATTTAGTAGACGGCCTTATCATCAACATCACAAGCATGCTAAGAAATCTACAAACTTATGTTTCAACCAGCAAATTCTAAGTGTGAATATATTAAAAGTAAGAAGGTTCTGAAGCTTACTGTGCTTCATCAAAAATTATAATCGCTCCTTTCAGATCTACTTCAACTCCTGCTCGAATGACAGGATTAACTATATAGGAATAAGGGCAAAATACCAATTGTGCGTTCTCCGCCATTGACCAGGAAGCAAAATATGGGCAGCCTACAAGAAAATTATTAGAGATTCAGAAACAGAAAAATACAGTCAATTAAAAGTACAACTTAATAAACCAATTCTAACCTCTAACATTTTTTCCAACTTTTACAAGATCTTCAATATCATGAACCTCATTGTGACCTCTGGGCTGAAGTGATGGATGAGATGTGATTTTATTGACGTTCCTGGAAGTTAAGGAAAACAGTTACATGATTTGACGAGCTAACAACAAAAGGGGGAAAAACAAAGAACTTATATCATCAGGAGAAACTCACTTGAACTCAGAACATTGTATGTTTGCCTTATCTTTTAGGAGTAACCGACTAGGAAAAGATTACAAGTTAGTACAGAGGATATCCCGTATCTTTTAGGAGTAACCGACTAGGAAAAGATTACAAGTTAATAAAAGATAAGATTGTATGAATGTTGATGAAACATACCATTCATCATCTACATTGTCTTTCCCAAGTACATGACGATTAGTGCAGTAATGTTTTCTTGAAGCCTTGCACAATGAAGACAGACCCGTGAGGAAAAGAAAACAACTTTAGTATATGACATATGATCTTGATTAACCATAAAATAAGCAAGTCCACAAAAGAGAGCAAAGTCAAGTTAACATACCAATACAGCCATGGGCACTCTGTAACCAGTTTTCCTATACTCACGAATCACTTGAGTAATCTGAGAATGAGTTCGTCTTAAGATGAACAAAAACAAACAATCAATCAATAAGAAGAAAACCATTAATTTATATTCACAACATTTCCAAAATTGCTGATGTTAAAGCTTACGAAGCATAGTATATGGTAGGAATTTTGGTTCTCTTCTTAGTTGCAGTTTCAGCTTTCTCCACATTTGTAGATGCAGGAGTATCTATTCAGAGATTTACCACTATTCAGAGATAAACCCTAATCATAAATGCAATTTCGTTAAAAGTCAATGACGAACCTGAGGGTTGCGTTTCCGGTATGAATCCGCCTCCGTGATTCAATGGATCGGTGGCTGCTTCAGGGGCAGCTTTCGAATGAGACAAATTCCCTTTCAGAAGCCGAGATTTATAGTTCTGTTGCCAAGCGAGAACCGAGCAGAGCAAAGACAGAGATTTGCCCGTACCAGTGGGAGACTCGAGCAACGCGTGGCAGTGACCGTCTCTCTGGGCACGATCGAGCGTAGATATGACCCGGCTCATGAACGCAAGCTGGGTTCCGTACGGTTGATAAGGGAATTCAACTTGAAGGCCTCCGATCTGGTAGACATTTTTAGGGTTTTTGGAGTTTAGGGTTTGTTTCACTTCTTCCTTCGAATCCGATTTGCTGGTTGTGGAAGCCATCTTCTTCGTCGAGAGTCGGTGACTGAAGAAAAATGAGAACTACGAGAAGAGAATTTCGAGCATTTCGCGTTGTAGATAAATGGGCGGGAAAATTCGACCCCTTTTCGAGTTTCTCTTCTTTTGGCGCCCGCCATTGTTATTGTCTGTGGTAAGCTGAGACATTAAAACGACGTACAGTTCTGATTATTTAAGAGAGAACGGCAATACTTCCGTATTCATTAAGATATTGGACCATAACTGGGCTTATTAAAGCCCATTTGTGTGGAGGCAATCACGTAATTGAGATGGTGTCATGTTCAATTGTCTTCTCTCCACTTTCATAATCGTATTATGCAATCTTTTTTTCAATGTTTTCACGCCCGATCCGAACCGTCCGGTCCGACCGGTTAACCCACGACCCATACACTTTTTCGGTTTGGGTTTTATGCTAATATCCGTCATTTTAAGAACCGAGAAAACCCACAAAATCCGCCATTAACCCGCGACCCAGTGAACCGGTTGAACCGATTAGGTATGAGTTTTAAAAATATCATTTGATTTTGGAATAAAATATAGAGTTTTAGACTCTATTCAATCATTTTTAGAATTTTTTTTAGATTTTAGATTCATTTGTTGTTTTAAATTTTTTAATGAAACTTCACAGTGCCGTCTAAGGAGAATGAATGGAATGGTGAGAGAAATAACCGAGATTAGCTATTTTGAATTTGCGATGTTTTATTAGTTTATTTATGTCATTCGCGATCTCATACTATTTTAATATTTGTTACGGTTTTAGACTTTTAAACTGGATTTAAAAATTTTATTTGAATCACTTTATTATATTGTTAGACTTCATATTTTATAATATATTAAGAATATTTTTATTTTTATATTTATAAAAACTAAATCATTTCTATAAATATTAAATATATTAAATAAAATTTTAATCAATTGACCCGTGGTCGAACCCGTTTAACCCAGTGACCCGATGACCCAGAAGGTAGTCCGGTTCACTATCTGGGTCGGGTTTAAAAACACTAGTTTTTTTCAAAACATATTTCATAGGTAAGAGTTTTCAAGCTTATCATATGATGTTGTAGTTTGAAAAAAAAAAAAAAAAATCCCTCATTAGTTTATTTTTTCTTTACAAAACACCTATATAATTTTCTAAACATTATAAAAATATAAATAAAAATGAATAAAATTTACAAATCTAAGGCCACATTATAATAAGTTTGCTTTACGCCTCTAAAAAAAGGGTCGGACAAGCAATGCTGAAAACATCCTGGTTTAAGCTTTCTAGCTTGTTGCAAAGGTTATTAAGATTGAGGGTATGGAACTAGACAGAGTTTTATAACCGGAATGTGTGTTATTGTCTTTATATGATTATGTTTTCACAAAATGAAAAATTGATCCAAGATTGTATTATGCCACATCATATAAGATGCTCGATTTTGTGGAATTTCCTGTCAAGCTTTGTCCTGAAATAATTAAAATAACTTCAGTTCTATTTCAAACTCTTCATTTATTCCAAACTGAAACCTCAAGACACAACCAACAAAAATGGCCCTAGCTGCCTTCCAATGTGTTTTCTTTAACGTCTTCATTTCAATTTTACTCAAATTAGTAAAAGTATTTTCTAACTGGTTCCACATATACATGACTCCTCCTTACTCAATCAGCACTATAATCAGACTACCAAAGCTAATTAAGACCAAAGAGTAGTTGGATTTGAGTTTTAAACTTGTGTGCTACTAGTAAACCACTTGTTGTATTTTCTTAGTATAGTAAAAATAATTCTTAATGGTTCCCACATAGACAAGAGTTCTCCTTACTCAATCAGAAAAAAGCTATAGAGCAAAAGTGGAACAATTTGAGAAATGTTGAAACAATTTGTCTTCCACATACATGAATCTGTAAAAGTAAATTGCATCACATAGACACGGCTCCTAGTCGGAGGAGAGAGTATGATGGTGACAGAAAACAGCAAAAGCTATATCCAAAAATGGATAAAGAATCTCTTAAGCGCGTTGGGGTACTTACGTTGGAAGAAGTTGACAAGTTAAGGAAAAAATCAGAGCACAGTTGAATCATCTCTCTGCTATAAATACAGAGAGGGGGTCACAACTCAAAATCACAACAAGCACAACAGAGAGCAAGAGATTCAAATAGCAAAAAACTTAAATATTCTTTCAAAAAAAAAGATGGGGATCGTAGCATTCCAATGGAGAGAGGGAGAAAACATACTGACGCTGCTGCAGAACAGAGAGAACTGGCAATCAAGGCAAGTTTAAAATTCTTTCGACGTGTTAGGTTATAATTTGTGCATCACACATTGTTGAATAACCTTTTTTTTATGGGTGATTAATAGGTCAATAAGAAAGGCGGCTTGGGAACGGGATGAAACTGGAACTTACCAGATATTGAGTGGTCGTTGCGAAGAGACCGATGGGACGTGGTTAGGTATTTCTATTCGAGGCCGAGTCGCTTTTCTTGTGGATGCATGGCCCCTACTTGTCAATGACAGATTCATCGGTGCCGAGCGTCGTACTCTTGAGTTCTTAGAGGTTTGATTAATGATTGATTTTTGTTGATTTTTTTGTTTAAACTATCTGGATTCCCACTGGATTGCGTTGATTACTTGATTACAGAGCAACGAGAGTCCAGAGGACTTTGCAAAGTCATTGGCTGCAGATACCGGACATACCGCACGTAACACGCAGATATCCTATCAGCTAATTGTGGCCGACATAGCTTCAAACTCAATGTTTTATATCTCCAAACCATCTTTGTCTGAAAATGGCATTGTCCATATAGAGCCTGTTGGTCCTGGTGTTCATACCCTATCTTCAGATGGACTCGATTCCGAAGATGGACGCAGGGTAATTTAGTACAAGAATCTTGTAACAGAGTTTTTCTTTATGATATTCTATTTGCAAATCTTTTCATATAGAAATGTATAGCTTTAAAAGCAAACCCTTTTTTTTCGGTCTCATGCAGGACTTACATCTGAAAAACTCTTTTGGTGAGATGATTAACAGAGAACGACTACCACCAATAAGGGAGCTTGCTAGGATTATGTATGATCCAGTCAGAGCTTACGAAAGAGTCCCACTGATGTCTATTTTTGTCGTCGACATGAGGGTAAGAAACTCAAAACATTATAATTGAGCCACCTTTTTTATGATCATCACCTACATTATATTATTGTAATCTCTCTTCTTCTTTTTTTTACCTTTTTGATTCAGATTGGATCCGAACACTATGGAACAAGAAGTACGACAGCATTGGTGGTGAAACGCACCAACGACGTGATGTTCTTTGAGAGGTACAGGGAGAAATTTAATGATAACTGGGAAGATCACGACTTCGCGTTCACCATCATCTAGTTACAATGAGACATTCCGCAGCATCCGAATATTATTATCTATACTAAATAATCTTGTTGATGCTGTAATTAATTAATACATCATAATCTTGTCGGTTCAGGGAAACCTATTTCCTTGGTCACACACTATAAATCTCTAGTCTATGAACGTTATCCTCTAAATAAATAAAAACTAGTTGGATTTCTGAAACTTTCCTATGTAGACTGTTCAGTTTATATTTCATCTTATTCAGTTCTTGAGTTATTTTTCCAGAGTTTCTCGTTAACTTTACTTTCACGTTAATTCATGTATTTTTCAAATCCAATGAGAACATCGATCGAGCCATAGTTTGCAGAATGAATGTACACAACTGGGATAGCTTATACTCGTTTTGGAAACCCTGATTGAGCAATTCGTCAAGAACCCTTGTTGCTTTCTCAAAAACATTGACACCACGTCGTATGCGGTAATGAACAAGAACAATGAAATCAAGAAAAAGCAAGAACATATATGGATATTAAAAGAAAATTCAAGAGAGTAGGAATTTAGAAAAGGCAAGAACATATAGAAAATAAGAAAAAGCAAGCACACTAGACATTTATCATAACAACTATAACAAGAAAGACAAGACATGAAGAGATTGTTCAGAGTAATGGAAAATGCAGAGGAGAGAGAATCTCTCGGCTATATAAACAGAGTGGAGATCACAACACCTCATCATCTCATTATTGGTGTTTTCCTGAACGTCTTGGTTTCCCTTTTTCTCAGATTAGTAAAATCAATCCGCAACCAAAAAAGTCCCTAGCTGTCACCTCATCATCTCCATCGTGTTTTCTTTAACGTCTTCATTTCAATTTTACTCAGATTAGTAAAAGTACTTTTTCTAACTGGTTCCACATAAACATGACTCCTCCTTACTCAATAAGCACTAGAGCCACTAGAATCAGACTACCAAAGTTAATTAAGACCAAAGAGTAGTTGGATTTGAGTCTTAAACTTGTGTGCTACTAGTAAACCACTTCTTGTATATTCTTAATATAGTAAAAGAAATACTTCTAAATGGTTCACACATAGACCTGAGTCCTCCTTACTCAATCAGAAAAGAAAAAAAAAACAAAATATAGAGCAAAAGTGGAACAATTGGAGAGATATTGAAACAATGTGTCTTCCATTTTACTTACTATAGCAAGTTTATGCTACTAGAAGCCACTTTTTCAACGTTTTTACATACATGAATCTGTAAAATTAAAATAGCAATACATATTCTGGTGGTTACTGAATGGAAGAGAAAGTATGATGGTGACAGAAAACAGCAAAAGCTAAATCCAAAAATGGATAAAGAAGCTCTTAAGCGCGTTGGGGTACTTACGTTGGAAGAAGTTGACAAGTTAAGGAAAAAGCAGAGCACAGTTGAATCATCTCTCGGCTATAAATACAGAGTAGGGGTCACAACACAAATCACAACAAGCACAACAGAGAGCAAGAGATTCAGATAGCAAAAAAAACTTATATATTCTTTCAAAAACAAAATGGGAATCGTAGCATTCAACTGGGCAGAGGGAGAGGGAAACAACAACCAACTCACGCTGCTGATGAACCGAGAAAATTGGGAAAATAGGCAAGTTTAACATTTTCATTCGACGTGTTTGTTTTAGTTTGTGTATAAGACATTGTTTCTGAATACTTTTCTGATTTTTTAATCTTTATTTCTATGAGTGATTAATAGGGTCATAAGTGAGGCATCTTGGAATGGAAATGGCGAGATATTGAGTGGTCGGTGCGAAGATAACGGCGGAACGTGGTTTGGTATTTCTAGAGGAGGCCGAGTCGCTTTTCTCATGAGTGCAGAGATACTGTTTGACCGCGTTGATCAAAACACAGGCTCTGAGTTGTACCCAATTGAATTCTTGGAGGTTTGTTTGATTTTATTTTTTTGCTTTTCATTATTGTTCAAACATCTTTGAATATCTTTATTTGATCAAGGTATTGCTTTGTTTGATTGCAGAGCAATAGGAGTCCACAGGATTTTGCTCTCCACGTGGCACAGCGTGAAGAGGAAAGACATTATAATGGAGAACTGGATGATCCGGCCGATGGGTGGTCCTATAGCCTTATAGTCGCAGACATGACTTTGAATTCAATGGTTCATATCAGGAAACCCTCGCAACAAGTGCCAATTGTCATAATACAACCCGTTCCGTTTGGTGTTCATACACTTTCTCCTTTGGAAGGTCTCGATTCCACAGAATCTCCCAGGGTAATTAATTACAAATGTCTTGTAATAGAGTAGCATTGTCACGGTAGTCCATTTTTGCAAATCTTTTCGTATAGTTTCTTTATTTATGTCTAAAATCAAAACACTCTGTTATTTTTTGTTGGTATTATGCAGGATTTATGCCTGAAAAGCTTGTTTAGCCAGATAATTCTTGACTTGGGAAACAATGAACAAGCACATATGAACGATAGTGCTGGGAGGTTTATGTATGATTCTGAAGGAAGAGCATACGGGGTGTTTCGCCAAACTATACGTAACCATCCTTCTGGAGAAGTAAGAAATTTATCAACTGTTTTTATGATTCCTCACCATCCCTTCATTAATCTCTATTTTCCCCATTTCAATTCAGCTTGGAATGCAACGCTTTGGAACAACAAGTACGACAGCATTGGTGGTGAAACGCACTAGAGAAGTGATGCTATTTGAGAGGTACATGGATGAGAATGGTGCATGGAAGACACACGACTTCGCTTTCAACATCCAGTAGAGTTACAAACAAACATTGGGAAGCATCCGAATATTATTATCTCTAATTATTAAATAATCTCGTTGATGCTGTAAATAGATCTCTCTAATTTATTTACCTTGTTAAGATTCACGGAAACCTATTTCCTTGGTCACACTAAATATATCTCCAGTCGTCTATGAACATTCTACTTGATATACATAAATAAATAGTTGATTTTCTAAGACTCCTATGCCAACTTAAAGTTCACTTTTATTTTGGTTCCATCTATACAATTCGTAAGCTATTTATATATCTATAGTTTCTCTTTCACTGTACTTTCAACTTAATTTGTATCTCTCAATTCGGTTGATGACACCGAGCCATGGTTTGCAGAATGAATGCAGACATTAAGGGTAGGTTATAGTATTTTCGGGAACCCTGATCGAGCAATTTCAAGCAATTGGTCAAGAACCGTTAAAGTTCTTTGTCAGAAGCTTTGACACCACATCGTATTTTACACCCTCCTTGGTCTTTGTCGAGGGAGATGAGCAGGAGAAGGTGATTATAGCTTCTAGTGATCTCTGATCTAACTGCGGTCATGGGACTCATTGATACAACCTAAGTATATCTATCTCATGCTTTTTTTAATTATGTTGGGTCAATAGAGCAAAGTGTCCCGATTTGTACGAGTGTTTGTTTCCCATATGCAATATTTAGAGGTCTAAAATCAGTTGTAACTTGTAACAGATCATATATATTATACCAAAAGCTGATGAGGTTAGTTTATGTTTTTTTTAATTTTAACGAATATATCAAGGCATTTGTATAAAAAAGATTGTGTATAATATATATTTAAGTTAAGAAAAAAAAAGTTATTGTTGTGTGAAAAAAAGCAAGAGATTCCTACAATACCAATAGGTAATGATTATGTTTTAACAAAATGAAATTGATCCCAGATTGTACTATGCCACATCATATAAGATGCTAGATTTGTGGAATTTCCTGTCAAGAGTTATCCTGAAAGAAATAAAATAACTTCAGTTCTATTTCAAAATATTTTCACTTCCATTTATTCCAAACTGAAACCTCAGAATTGCTTCTAAAGACTTAATGGTATGCAAGAATAGAATACCTTGTGCGTTAACGTTGTTTGCTTGCTTGCAGCATCATTCGTGACTTCTAGATGATCAGCAAAGAATAAAATCTGCAAAAAAAAAGTAAAAAGAGATCTTAATATCAAAACAATGCACTCTGATGAATCACTAAGTTGAGCTTACTTTGCTCATAAACTGGGCGTTTGATGAATCAGTAGCCATGACTTGCACTCCAAGGCAGGTGTTTGGGACACTACAGAAAGGGCAAAAGATAGTTTTGAAAACACATCCATCTTGTTCGGACCAAATACCCTGACCTTTTGAGATTTCAGAACTTCTGCAGAGTCTCTGATTAACCAATGAGCAATCTGTCATGATAACTGAAACACTTGTTGGCATTTCTGCAGAACCAATTCCTGATGTTTCTTTCAGAAGAGACAGCAAATACATTTTGGACGACGAAGTCAACAAGCATTTGGGATATGAGTGGTTCTCAGGGTGACCTAATGAACTTCTGCAGAGTGAACAAGATATCCTCATCACTCTCTGATCCACTTCCGGAAACCCAAATTCAATTCTTCTTGTGAAACGCGTGTGATCCTCGGGTCTAGTATCAGGAGAGTTACTGTTTTCTTCTTCAAGGTCAATGATGATTGGAGAGGTAGTAAACTTTCTTCTCTTCAAAGCATGGGAATTAACACTCATGTTCAACGGTGACTCTGCTTCTAGAATCGAACTACGGGTATCACCAATGGAATATCTCTCCGGAGTTACTATTACAGACGACTCAGCACCAAGAGGAGGTCTTCCGAAGTTTGAAGTAGATACATGCCGTTTTAAGAATTGATCAGGAGACCTCAGAGATCTCAGACCTGTTTCTAGGCTAGAGCTTTCATTCTTTGAGCTAGAACATGGACTGGCTGCTGAAATACCAGAGGTTTCCTTTTCTGGATCTGCATTGCTTTGGTTTTTAGGGAACAAATTCTGCTCATGGGACTCTAATATCTTACTGTCAACTGTCTCCTGCATGCAATTCTCAAAGAATTTTAATGATTATGTATGTAATAAAGTTTGAAGGAAAGGAATGAGATTGTTTAAAACCTTGACACTGTTGAAAAAATATCTTAATCCTTCCATAGAAGCTTCAAAATTATCATACACTTTGATAGACTGCCTTAGCCACTTTGAAATAGAAGCTCTGTTCCTTGGTTGTCGGTATCGCTCATCTGGGACACCAAAACAAGACAGCCTCAAATCTATCATAACTGAACTGGAAACAAAACGTTTCATTAGATATTGAAGTCTTATAAAATTACCCAAGAATATGATGGCACCATAATCAAACCTATGCCGGATACATCGCCCTGCTGCTTGATTTAAAGCACGGTACGCCTGTTGGCAATACCACTCACTCCCTCCAAGAAGTTTTTTAGATGATTTGTTGGTATCATTATATTTCCTCTTTAGTTCGACTAGAATATCGCCCCTGGCAAGAAAGTGATTCGTAAGAAAAACTGTCGAAGATTTCAAACGAAGCTAAAAGATTTTAATTGAAATAGAATTCTTACAAGTTTGGAAATGGAATGCCAACAATTATCTGTACGTAATCATCAAGGTTTAACAGTCCATTCATAAGCCAATTTCAGTAGTATAAATCAAAAATATCATAAAGTTTCTATTGCAGCAGAGCACTCAAACTCAAAAAAGGATACCACTGCCCTGGCATTGTCATCAGAAAAATCAAGCCCTTCTGAAACCTAAGAGAAACATGTAGAATTTAAACTCAAATCATGTCATGCTCATATGGTCCCTTTAAATAGACATCAATAACAGAAACTAAGACAAAAAAACAACAACAAACCTTTCCTCTACATACTGCAAGAAATGCAGATCCTCTCTTAGAATCATCTTGAGCCTCAGTTATAACAGACCCTGCTTTCTTAACTCTGCTATTTCTTCCATTCGATCTGTTATTTCCGCTTATCGAATCATAATATTCCTTCAGAACAGTTTCGAAATCGTCCTTGGCTCCTCCTCTTGGTTCTGCAACCAAGGAAAGTTATTTTAAGGTTTTTGACAAGAAAAAGAATGCATCAGTATAGGAAGTGTTGCAACAGTTTTTACATGATCACAGAAGATAGATGTTACTTACCGATAAAAAAGTCCCTTTTCAAGCAGAGCCGAGACCATTGTCCAGTTTCATGCCAACGCGTGCAGAGTTTTTCCATCAACTTATAGCTTGGAAAGAATACCAGAGAGCCTCCTGGTACAATACTGCAAATCTCTTCCAACGATTTCCCTAGAGCATCCTTCAATGCAAAGCAGAGCATTCGTTTTACAACACAAAAAAAATATCGAATCACATTACGAAAAAGAACAAATTTACAGGCAAAAAGAACTTGAAGCAGTACCTGGAATGCATATGCATCAGCTGTTTTATAACTTGCATTTAGAGGAAAATTACCAGGACCACTGGAGATTGCACCAGCCCACACCTGGAACAAATATATTGTTAAATCATAATTTCAGTTCTTGAATGTGTTGCTAAGTGGAGAGCTTTAGTCAGAACCTGCATATTAGGATCAATCACATGTGGAGCCTCTAAACAAGTGCCAAATTGCATCCCAAGTTCAGATGAGAAAGAATTCATCGGTGACAAAGTCCTATATATATTTCATAACCAAGGAGATGGATGGCTCAAGAAACATAACTCTTTGCAGAATGACATAACTCTTTTGCAGAAGCAATAGTAAGCAACAGGATACTACTGCTTACCCAGATGTTAAAATGATGGATAAAGAAAGATCAGCTAAGTCTTTGAAAACAACAGACGGATTCATGCACCACAAACTGAAAGTATGCGTCCACCCATTATCTCCTGCATCCCATTAAAGCAACAATGAACACCTTTTGTTTTTCAAAAAATGGGTGAAGTTTTCACACATTATCTATAAAGAATTCACTTGTACCTCTCTTAGCAGACCGTTGTAAACCCATTTCATAATCTAGGACGTGACTTCCATTTCTTGAAAAGAAGTATGTAAGTGTAGCAAACAACTCTGCATGAAAATTGTTCAATAAGCTCTCATTCTCAAAGATTACATTACAAAAGATCAATGCTTAACAAAGTTAGTGAGACGCAAAAAAAAAACCTTCTAGTGTGGAGACAGATATCCCACTCAAATAAGGCTTATCCGGGTCCATTTCTGATGCCTCTGATTTTGTGATCGCCTTGACCAGTAAGCACAACGTCACATTCAAGCATAGTAAAAAACGCATGCAGGCTTAGCCAGATAACATAGAAGAAATGACTTACTTGGTTAAAACATGCCTCTAAGTTTGGGAAGTTTTCAGGAGTGATATTGAATTCCTTTAACTCTTTTAAAGCTCTGTCTCCAGTCCAACTGTCACATTGATAAACAGAGTTGGAACCATTTTTCAATTCAAAAGTAAAGTAGAAGATTGGAAGACGTACTTAGAGAAATAGTGCTCAGAATCACGTTTTACTAGTGAATCCTTTTTTCTCCCAATCCAGCTTATCAATCCCTAGAATACATAGAACATTACTCAATATTAAAAATTAGACAGCAAAGCTACC